GAGGCCTCTCACAGACAGTTCACACTGTTTGGAAAGCTATGTCGTCCATGACCGGGATTCGAACCAACGACGGTGCGCGTCGCAACCGACGCCTTAAGAGGACGCTATATCCGCATGTGTTGTCTCAGTCTTACAAGTGCATAAACATAGCAAATTTTACGCTCAGCGGATCACGTTTAGCTCCGTTAGTTTACAATTTAGAGTGAGTTGACCTCTTGTAAAAATTAAAGGTAACATTATTATGGAGGGCTTCTCGTAGATTTTTTATTATATTTTTATTTTAAAGCGAATTATGAGTATTTTAAAATTGTAAATTGTTCATATATCTTAAAATACTCATAATTCGCTTTAAAATTAAAATATAATAAAAAGCCTTCCAACGAGAATCCTTCCATAATAATGTTACCTTTAATTTTTATTAGAGGTCAACTTATTATAAATTTTTATAAATTTTAAATTGCGGAGCTAAACGTGATCTACTGTGCGTAAAATTTGCTATGTTAAACACTTGTAAGACGGGACAACACATGCGGGTGTAGCATCCTCTTAATCCGCCCGGCCACTACACGCCTACATTTTATTTCTTCTTAGTGAAATACTATATTTCAAGAATTGATATTTGAACTTGTTGTAGTTTTTAATTATAATAATGTAATATTAAACTTGATGTTTTATCCATTATTATAACGAATATTATGGCTTTTTAATAAAGAAATTCAATATTGATTGTACTAGTGTAATATAATTGTACGTTTGTATTGAAATATAAATTTTTATCATATACATACCTATTGTATTAGTTCTTATGTTGATTATTTACGCCTCGAAACTTATTAAATATTTAATGCGTAATCGTAGTTATGCAGAATATTAAGGCATACAGCAAAATTATTATTAAATCTGATTCATATTAAAAAATATACCATATATAATCATATCATGAACTATTTTTGTATTTCACATATTTACTAAAAAGTTATTTGAAAACTGATATTATTATACATATGTTTTTCATGTTATGGTTTAAGAAATTGAAGTCAGAAAATTGAGTCCACTATTGAAAAAATAAGTGCAGGTATTATTTATTTTATGTAAAACTGTACTATGACTACAATAATTGTTACAGTCTTTTGTACGGTTTTTTCCCGCGCATAACCGTTTTTCTATACAATTTTGTAATTGCAGAGTAATAGATACCAATAATGATACTATCTCGGGCTCACTTGTAAATTAAATCGAAAAGGAATTTTAATTGTTTTTAATTGTTTTTTTTCATTAAAAATGCCTGTAAAAATCTTTAAAAACGTGTATGAATATTTCCATTTAATTATACCGTAACAATTATTGGATAAATGATAATTAATATATTTTTACTTTAAACGACTAAAAAAAAACTGTCAAACAAGCAAGTTAGAAAGCTAATATAGGCTTATGATTAATTCAGATAGTCAAAATTAAAATTTTTTAAATATTCTATGAGATTAAAATATTATGGTGGATATATTTTCATACATTTTTTAAAAGATATGGACGAAAATTAACAGTTATTCCAACGTATTAGTTATTATCATGATTTTTTAAAATGTTTAAAACAACTTAACTTTAGTGAAATTATAAAAATAATGCTTTGAAAAAAAAAATTTCCTCATCGCAAGATCAATACATTGCTGCTTTCACTCATAACCTTTAATTACACCTATCACAAAAAATACGTATAATATTACTTTTAGTTGATTTAAATAATGATTATCTTATTACGTTCCTATAATATTCGATTCTGATTTATTTTCTGAATAAATAAATTGCATCGACAATAACTATATCAGGAAAAACTTCSATTTTACACGGTGTCTTACATTGTTGGCAGACATAAATATGGCATTTATAAAGTGATTCAAATATTCAATGTATTTTGGGAGGAGAAAAAGAATACWCTGAATGAATTATCGCAAGATATTATGCATTGTATTATTATAGAAACTATAGAAAGGATAATGATAATAATAAAAAAGCTATAATAATAAAGACCAATTGAATAAAGTGGCTGTAAATGTTTACTTARAATCATTTTTAATTTTAATTTCCATTATTATTTCGATTTTATTTATAAGTTCCGCGCAAACCTATTTAAAGGGATATTAACAACAATACGTTTTCAGATATCGTGTTAATCAATCAGAATATCGACCAGGTATAAGAAAGTATTTTTAAATCATTAAATCAAGATTTATATTAGAATTTACAGTAAAAAATTCCTCGTCTTGTCTGATCTATAATGATTAATGTGATACTATATAGGTTTGGGCGATTTAGCCGTTTTTTGCCTGGGTGTTTTATCATATTGTGATAGGGGTATAGTTAGTTACACAGCGTCACACGGAACGAATGGACTAGTCTGGGGTTGGTTTTTTATTCACTGAGCATGAAATCAGTGATTGCAACGCTTTCGCTAGAGTGGATTTTAGCAAATATTCGTGCTATAGTGATCCTTATTAGTTATTAATYATGACCTTTCACCTGTAATGAATATCTCTGGCCGTAAGATAGCTGTAATAAATAAAGCTCTGCAGGTGGTTAAATGACGCGTTATAATATAATTTAGGATGACGAGTGGTATTTATATTAGTTGGAAAACAATTACAATCGTTCAAATAAATGTATACATAATACATAATTTAAATCCATACTTTTTAAATCAATATATTTTTCTTTTAAAAAATTTTAAATTGTGAACAATTTTTTACATTTATAATACAAATCAACAAATCAATAGGTATGTGATGAAAATCAAACGTGGTAATAATATTATGTTTATTATAATGTACCTATGTATTAAACTGATTTAAAACTTATGTGATGTCAGTTAATTTAATTTATTTTTTTTTAAAAGTAATAATTTAAATTGTGTTCTTATGTACCTAATTCATACATTATTAGGGTTCTGCAATTTAATATGCTATTAAATTTAATATAATTTACGGTTATGGCGGATTACTGCAATTAAGATGAATCAAGAATACAAATTAAATATTGTCTCCATAATACAACCATTACTTATTTGAGTTACATTAAATTTCTGATACGTTTAAATGCAATATCCTAAGGAATTATATTATTCTTTAAAGTAAATAAACATTAAAAYATACCCATACACCCACAATTATAGTTTTTGAAGTGAAGTTGAGTGACTGCCAACTGATATTGATTAAATTCATACTATTCCATTCCCAATTCCAATATTGAATTATTTTTTTCGGGGACAAAGGAATCAAAAATTAACGTTTAAATAAAATGTATGATATTAATACATTAAACAATTAATTATTGTAACAGATGATCGCATTGAATTGAAATAATTTTCTGTTTGTTGCAACTGCATTGGTGAAAGTAGTACTCTAATCAATGGTATGTTTACTAAACTTTTCAGCTCAATAAAATAGAACAAATATTTAATAAAGTCTTTTAAAATATCAATAATGTCAAGATTCAAAATATTTTCGTTGACATAAAATCCCTGTCTGGCTTAATCTTAATTGAAAAAGAACATTTTTAATTTAATGAACCATCCTATATTGGCTATATTAATAATTACACTTTCATATCGAGAATAAAAAATAAAATGAAAACAAAATTAGTATAGATTAATATTAAATAAAAGCTTGTATTATCATGTCAGCGCACATGACTGATGATCTTTTCCAAGAAAAAAAAGTGCTATTGTATTGCGTCCAAAAATTATCTCATACAGCACMAACAAAATGATTTATTGTAAATTATAAGTAAGCGAAACATAAAAAAAATGTAGCACCACAACATYATTGTTATTCTTAACGAGAGTAAATTAATCAATTATTATACGAAGTTCTTAAAAAGAAAGCTAAATCTCCCAATTATCATCTATTTTAGATTCTAAGCGAAGGGATGAATGTGTTGATTTTGCAATGATGTGTGTTTTGTTATAAATGTATATATATTTTTTTTTGTATCTGTGTAGGTACACGATAAGTTGTCGAAATAGTGCTTCRATTTTCAATTTCAGTAGCTTTTCTGGTTTGAAAGTGAATCAAGTTGGTGCATTAGGGAGGTCAAATTTCGAAATTTTCAGTAGTTTTCAAAAGTACTGGGAAATACAAAAAAAAAAAATTAAGAAAAAAAGGAAATTTTACGCAAAATCAATTTCTGAGAAAATTGATTTTAGGCATTGGTGTAACTCTTAAGGGAATTACCGTAGACACTTACAATTTTCACTGAATGTTTATACTGGAATTTTATAGGTATACTTGATAAAATTTTCAAAATATTTCAAAGTTATTTATAGAAATTTTAAATTTTTTTAGTTTTTATAAATTACAATAAAATTGTATTCGTTGGGTAAAAAGCTTAATACAAGGGTTCTAATATATTGTCATAATGGTAATTAAAAAATATTGAAAATATAAAGTCACAATTTTTTTTAATAAGCATTGAAAGTTCATATTTTGACAAAAATCACGAAAACTTGCATTTATTTTGAGTTAAAAATTCATAAAAATTATTTTTTTATATTTAAGATTTGAAAATTCAATAAAAGATTCTTCGTGAGTTTGTCTGCTTTTATCAAATAAAAAATATCTACCGAAAAGTCAAATTAAATTTGTATGAGCATTTGAATTACAACATTGGATATTCACTCAATTTCTCGTGTACTGATGTTTTTATTTTAATTTTATTCACAAACGAATAACTGTAGAAACCTAAAATTTAACTATATTATTAAATATTATTAATTCATACATTTGATAAAATTCTAAAAATATTTCAACAACTTTTAAGTTATTTATAAACATTTTCAATTTTCAATTTTTAGTTTTTATTCTATAAATGTTGATAAAATTGTATTCATTGGGTCAAAAATCTTTAAAATTTAATACAAGGTTCCTTATAAGTTTATATAATAGCAGTTAGAAAATATTAAAAATACAATAAATGCACGTTTTTTAATGCACTATTTAAATTTTTAATTTTGACAAAATTTATTTAATTTAAAATTCACAAATTCTTTAGTTGTTTAAAATTTATAAAACGTTTACATTGTATAGCTAAGGATTGAAAATTTAAAACAAGGTTCCACTTAAGTAATGAATTTCATTTTTTTTCTTGATATAATAAAAATATAATAAACATAGTATAGCATATCCTAGACTGACAAACCGTCTCCGCTTAAAATCGCTTTTCGTATACAATAATAATATGTTATTGAATTAAAATTTAATACCATTCGTCCATTCATTACAATAACCCACTTGTAAATTACTGTACAACAGAGCGACATCCACTTACGTACCAGCTTTTTTTTTCATTTTAAATATTATTATTAATTTTAATTTTAGAATATAGTATTGTATTTTTGTGAAAATGGATCAACAAAATCYTTTGTTCAACACGTAAGTTTCTCCAGCTACCCACCATAATTTTTTGCGACTATTTAGTTCTTGCGTTATTAGTTAGACATTTTTCATCCCTACTAAGAATTTGTTTGACATCGGTTCTTTAAATTTTTCGTATGGTGATTAGGGAAACATGCTTCTAGTATACGAATAACTGTTTAGTTCTTAGTCATTGAGCACTATTTACTATCGCAGCATATTGTGCATTATATTTATAATTCTATATCAACGTCTATATTATGTAACAATAATGTATCTTTATTATATTAAATAAGTTCAAATGACGCATGTACCAATATTCCATAAAAGTTTTCTTTACATTAATTTTTTTAAAGGGATTATTTAATTTTATAAATTAAAAATACTTAGTACATTTACTAGACATTAAAATATATATTTATATATCATATACATATATTAMAATAATACAATATTATGAACTATTACAACACATCATTATCACATATATTTTTGTGGTATCGTAACTTAAATCATAAATTGAACCATTGAATGTATTTGTTGTATAGGAGTGTGAGTGTAGGACGGTAAAGTACTTTGAAAAGAAATCTAAAGGCACTGATCTGATTTTGACATCCTACCTGCTATCTAACTACTGTTATCGACACAATACATTATTTAACACGATTTATCAGTGTGTTTTTGTGGTTGGTTTGTAAACAATAAATTAAACAGGTTGATAATTAATCTATATTACTGCTATATGTCAAACAAGAGATAGAATAAAAATAAAATATTAGTGAATATAATATGCTGTATATAGAATTGAAAGTATTTTCATGATTTTTTTTTGATGAGTTGTATAACTGTTTAGTCGACACATTAGTCATTTATCACTCTGTTTATTGACCGCAGTTATGATTTATCGAAAAAAAAACAACTAAAAATTAAACGTATTTTGCTTTCATTATTTGTATATAAAGAGTACGTTTATTTTTCGTATGAAAAATTTATTTATTTTTTTCATTGTATCACGTATTCACATGTCACATCATGTTTAATTGTTTTATATCATATTTCATTAACTAATTTTACTGTTAAAAATGTTCAAGTCATTTGAGTGTAACGTGATTAATATAAAAATTAAAAAGAATTAAAGTAAAGTATCAATTTTTTACAGATAATCCAAGTTCGAATTTAAACGAAGAATTTTTCCGCTGTCTGGACGGCAGGTGGTTGCCATTTAAACACCGTTGTAACTTCAAAGCTGAATGTTTAGACGGTGATGATGAAATGGATTGTGAAGTTTCGTTATCGTGTGGTGACGAGCAGTTTCGGTGTGCTAGTGGTGAATGTGTGAAATCAGAGAACCGTTGCGACGGACGTACCGACTGTTGGGATAAGAGTGACGAAATTGGATGCGGTAAGTCAACTGTGGCAATGTGGCCTGTGGACACAAGTTGTAAATTATTATAAATTCATTGCGGGTATGCGATCGCACTATACATATAGCTGTTGATGAGTAATGAGTCACTAGATTTGACAGAAATTTAAATATATTTCGAGGATAAATGTTATGTTTCAAAGTCAATAATGCATGCCATATACATATCCCATAATTATATTATATTTATTTACTTTAAGTTAAAAATGATTGAATTGAAAAGGACGTGGATGAACAGAGTAGCTCTCCTTTTAAAAAAATTTTATCGATATCCCTTTTAATTATATCCTTATCAATCAGAAATTTAAATATTTGTGTACGATTTTTTTTTTATATACTTATACTTGYATGTACCCCTTATACTTTTTTCCAATTCAAGCGCTAAATTATTTATTGGATGTATTTTGTATTTATAATATACCTATTATGTATAATGAATTATTGGTGTAAATTTACATAGCGTTTCCGTAATATTACCGAAGTGTGTTATGTTAATCATTATTAATTTTAGCGGCTGTACARTGTCCTGRCGAAAATTGGTTAAGGTGCAAGATTGGCAAACAGTGCGTGCCAATGGAAAAATGGTGTGATTATATAGTCGACTGTATGGATGGTTCTGACGAGAAAAACTGCGGTAAGTTTTGATTATTCCGTTCGAATTTACGTAGAAGGTAGAAAATATTGAAAAGTTAGTAAATCCAAAACTATGCCACTGTGTATAATACTGTAATTGTTAATAATTAATTTTTAGTTAATAATTTCATTGTAATGTTTTATATTTATTTTTTTATTTCAGTACAACGTATATAAAAATAAATGTATAAAAATATTAACTTAACGTCATGTTTATCCAAGTCTTATTTTTATTTAATTCGTTTGGAACGAAAATATTATATACATAGTGGAAGGTTAATAAAATTTAGCTTACAAATGATTAAGTTGTCGACTTGTGAAATTAAAGTCGTATTTATTTGTGTTGTACTAACTCATTATTATTCATGGTAGTACGGTTAAATTATATTTTTTAATCGACAAACTAACATTTGTATTTTATTTTTATATCTAAATTAAACACATACACATATTATACTGTACAATTTTAACAATTAAATATTGAAAATTATTTTAATTCAGTTAAAATTATTGTTGTTTATCATATACTCACTTTTGGATGTTCAAAAAAAATAAAAATAAAAATATTTTTTTGTGACAGATTATAGATTATGTGAAGCTGACGAGTTCCGATGTGATAATGGTCAATGTATTCCTTTAGAGTATAAATGTAAAAAATATCGAGAAGAACAAATGGGTTGTGTAGATAAATCGCACCTAAGAAATTGCGGTATGTTAAATGTAAACATTTAAATTTGTTGCCAAGTGTGCTTACCTATTATGTATCAGGTATGTTTCAAATTGACATACCCACGCCCAATCTAGTTTTGGGCCAGAATTTATTAAATAGATAAATTACTGCGAGGATAATATCTTTTGGAGTAGAAATACAGAGTAAATTTTGTTATAGTTTGGTTTTTTGGTTGGTTATAAATAAAAACTTGATTCGAATACTAGGCTAATAACAATTAACATTACATATATTTTCTTAAATAATTAAAGATAATAAAATATTGTTATAATAAATTAAAATCGAATTTATAGTATAATATCGTTAGCTTCGTTTGTACAATATGAGATTGATTGGTTGTATGACATAATAATATTAATAATAATAGTAAAATAATTATAAAATAGTAAAACAACTTAAATATATATTATTAATATTTAATATATTATAGTTATATATAACTCATTAAGTATTTGGATTTTCTTAAAGAACTATATGGTATTACTTTCATTTTATGGATCTGGATCTAAACTTTCTGCAACAAGACTTATTTTGAGTTTCTCTCTGTGTTTTTAAAATTATTGGCATTTGTTAAATATGCGATGTAAGAGTGGTTCGTTAGTGCCTTATAATTGACATTCAGAAGGGTAGATTTTTTCCCCCAAAAATCCATTTGTTAGTCAGGTATGCCCAATCTGTCCAAAATGTATTTTATATATTTAAACTGTTATTTGTTAATTTTTTTCTTGATGGTGTATAGCGAAAAAGATAAAGGGTGATTAAGGTGACTAAGGATTATCAATACTTAATGTACAATAAATTTAAACTAATCGCTCGTTTGGAAGACGTTTTAAATTAGTAATGAATCTTTCACTMAAATCGTTATYATACAATATTAAACGAATATGATTATCTAGGTGTTTGAGGACAATTGAAATTAAAAATAAGTTTATTTTTCTAGAAGAATCTCAATAACTTGAAATCAATAGAGACAAAATATTCAAATTAAAATTAATTTTGATTTATTGAGCTTCAAGTTGTAGAGATTTTATAGTACCTACATATAGGTACCTATCATTGTATTGTAAATAAAGGTTGATTTTGGTTTGTTTGGTATCTTAGTGAATTTTAAATGTACTGAAAATGAATTCAAATGTCATCGTGGGCCTTGTATACATCAATCTATGGTGTGCGATGGGCAATTAGATTGTGATTTGACTTGGGACGACGAAGACAATAATTGTTGTAAGATTTTGATACAATTGCACAATATATATTAAACAGCAAATACATTRAATTCCTCGTGGTAATGGATTTCAGATTTCATGTGTTCGGATATAGCATCTGGCTGCCAATGTCAAGATGTCCATATAAATTGTACCGGCCACGGTCTTAACTATTTTCCGTACGATGTCGAAAAAGAAATCACCTTTTTGTAAGTACATATTCGATAAAATATTAAATAAAACAAGGTGGTGAAAAATAAAACAATATAATCATCTTTAATATTTATAGTCATTTGGGTGGTAATAATTTTTCCGAGGGCCTTCATGAAAATACATTTAAACATTTGGATCGCTTAGTTTATTTGTAAGTGAATATTGATTTAATGTAAAGATATATTGTAATATAACACGAAGTATGCATTTTAATTTTATAGAGACCTGACGAATAATTCAATAAAACATTTGGAACCATTAGTGTTTTCCACGCTTTGGCGTTTGAAAACATTGAACTTACAAAACAATGAAATAACAATTTTGCGAAATTGTTCGTTTTTGGGGCTCGGTCAGCTGACGGGATTGTAAGATTAATTATTTATTAGAGCATTTTGATAAAACATTGTTTAGTCCAGCAGCGCTATCCTAGATAATAGATGAAAACTAATGTTTGCCTTACCCGTTTATATAATTATAATAATTAACAAACTTAAAATGAATTATGTTACGCATAACTCTATATTAAGTTTAATGTTTTAACTATCATTAAGATAATTAAAATTAAGCACTCAAAGTTTATTTTAAACAAAATAAAACTGTTTGAGTTCTATTTTATTAATTATTGTTTATGTGGTTAGTGTATTGTGTAATTATCGTATTACACGTATTATTTACCACGAGTGTTATTTTTAAAACACTGAAAGTTGAATAACCTGTAAGTAATAGTGATGACCTATCTTTAATAAAACAGAGACACCCGAGGGAAATAAAAGCGCTATTAAGAATGTGACTATCGTTTATAATTGAGTGATATTTCGTAAATAKCTAGAGGTTTTGCTGTTTTTAATATGAAACAACTGGTACCATATGTTTTTAGACATTTACAAGGGAACAATATTTACAAGTTGAACTCAATGGCATTTCAGGGTCTATCATCTTTGATTACACTGTGAGTACYTCCAACTTATAGAAAATCAATTTTACAGCCAAATTAATAATACAGTTTTTGATATAATACAGTGACTTGAGCCATCAGAATATTACGGAAATAGAATCGGAGGCTTTTGTTGGTCTAAGATCGTTAAAAAGTTTGTTAGTATCTAAATTCGTTATTTTTATTTAGTGGATTCACCAGTAATTCGTTATTTTAGAGACTTATCAGATAACTTACTCACTCATATACGGGACGGYACGTTTCGAGGGATGCCCCAAGTTGTATTTTTGTGAGTATAATAATATTTACTGCTAAACTTTAAACTTTTAAACTGAAACAAAATTTCCGACTAAAAGCTTTTATATTTATTTTACAGAAACCTTAAGAATAATCAATTGAGAGTTATAGACAAGAACGTTTTTTTCACCATGCCGTTACTTGAAACACTGTGAGTCAATAAAGCGGTGTCGCTGTATAATATTTTTTACCATTTATTAATAATAATAATAATAATAATAATAATAATAATAWWATRRTSRTMAWAWAAYAAYAATTATTTATCTCTCCYGAAGACCAGAAATAAACAGCTTCATTAAATGAGTCGTTTTACCCGAGTCTCTTATTCATCAGACTGCTAGTGTTGAAGAACCATTAATCAAAATATTTTTAACTTATTATTAGTTTAGTACCAACGAAGTCACTTTTTTATGGTGACAYTAATTAGAGAATTTTTTTTTTTGATAATAATATAACTGTGAAATCATCAACTAATAAACATTTGCACGGAGACCAAGGTTGAAGATATATATATATATATACTCGCGTATATATAATATAATATAAACATATAAATTGAAATATAGCTATTATCACATAAGTATAGGTAATATTTTTGAAACAGACGTCCTTGTTTTATCAAGTAAAATATAAATAATGAGTTCCTGACCAATGATTGAAGGAATTATTTTAGCTTTTATCACGTTATATAATAATTTTAACTAAATTTTTATCACAATGTGTGTTTAAATATTATGGTGTATAATATTATGATGATTAATGATTAAAATGGATATTATGCATGATAATAATATATAAATACAATATCTACAAAATAATAAATATAGTACGTGATAAGGCACCCATTTCTCTAAATATTCTATGAAAAGGTAAATATGTTTAAAAAAAGACATATAGTTTGTAAGTATTTATAGATAATTGAAAAATATTTCTAACACAGTAATATTTTAAATTCAAAGTAACATATTTGCTGTCATTAAAAAATAATACYAAACTTGAAAAACCACGCTCCTGAATGTTCATACTTTGAGCACTTTAGTACTGGTAATTGCAGATACMTAKGTATATTAAACACACCCATAATAATAGCTTACGGAATGCATGCAGGTTTACCGACGAGTTTCGTTTCTGCTGCTTGGCTCGGTTTGTGAAGCGGTGCGAACCGCTGCCCGACGAGTTTAGCTCGTGCGAGGAYCTGATGTCCAACATCGTGTTGCGGGTGTGCATTTGGATACTGGCCGTGGTCGCGATCACAGCCAAYCTGTTGGTGATCGTATTTCGGGCCAAGTACAAGCACACCAATAAGGTGCACTCGTTCCTYATAGTCAACTTAGCGCTGGGCGACTTCCTGATGGGCTCGTATCTGTTGGTAATCGCTGTGGTTGACTGGTACTACCGCGGCGTGTACTTTATCCACGACTCAGACTGGCGACGGAGTTCCATGTGCAACGTGGCTGGTTTTATCAGTACGTTTTCCAGCGAGCTGTCCGTGTTCACTTTAACCGGTAAGACGTAAGCGCAGCATTGTACACGCGCAGTATATTCATTGTGTTATTGTCTTATTACAAATTTATTATTATATAAAGCTGAAGAGTCTGTGTGTTTGAACGCGCTAAATTTAGAAACAACTGGACTGATTTCAATAAGAATCATAACAATAGATTTCTCGAGGATAAGAGGGCGATTTCAGTTATTTTTCAACCCCTATTTAGTTGCATTGCTATAGGAACTAGCTCACACGAGAATAATATATTGGCTCACAAAAATCGGATTACTTTTATCAAATAATATAATTATAAGGTTCCCTTAGGTTACAGAAACAATTGGTACAAATTAGCCGAACCACCTTAGTAAGTTGTTATGGGTTTTTAAAATAATAAGTATATATTTTTGTTACTAGGCAGGTACCTACTTACTCTCAAATTTGTTTAACCAAAGTCATTGTCCTTATGTTTGTAGCTTATAGACTTATAAAAGCTATACTTGAAGAAAGTTTTAAAGATTGTTTATATAGAGACTAAAGATACCACGAAAGTTTAAGAAGTAGTTTGAACCAAGTTTTAAAATGTACCGTACTACCGTAGTATATATCTGATACAAAAAAGATTCGTTAGATTTTTCCGTCCGTTTCGGTCGAATTATATAGTTAACAAAGCGAGGTACACCGATGCCGATTTTCGTTCGTGATCTGAGGTACATTAAAATTGAGGAGGTGAGAAACTTTGTGCAAATAGTAGTGGTGCTTCATGGTCAATAATGTCTAAGTATTAAAATGATTTGAGTACACTAAGTTCATCGTTTAAAAATTAGTTAGGTGAATTCTAGGGATCCAGTCGTACATTAAAAAACTTGTCACAAATCTAATGAAAACCGTATGGATCAAAAACWTTGATTTATACATTGCAGATAGTTATGATGATCATACTTGAAAATTAGATATATTCACTATTCCACTAAATTATCACTTTTGTCGAATTTAGTTTCATATTTTGTAACTGAATAATTTTTAAAATA